ACTCTTTCCAGAAGACTTGTAGATTAAACGATGTCACATATGTTTGTGAGTTAAAAGACGTACTCTATGGCTTTTGCATTTTATCTTCATGTTTCCTGCTTTTATTAATAATGTACATGAGACTACAGCTAAATCATACTTTAATTGAGTTTATTACATGCATACTATTCATTATATCGCTTTATAAAACAGATGCTACATTGTTTATACACACCTCTTTAGATCATTTGAGAAAAACATTCACTGCATATGATGTGAGAATTTACTGCCTTTTACAAAATGATAATGACTTGTAGAAATCAGGACTTCACCTATTTTTTAATCCAGTAAGCTTTTCTAATGATTCAATAGAAAACAGAGAATATTATGTCCATCCTCCTCAAACATGTTCTTTTAGTTTTAAATGTGTCATTATGGGATTTGTGATTAAATAAATTAGAAAACAAACCAAAACTAGAAGCCAAGGTAAAGTGCAACAGATAACAAAAAGAATTTATCAACTGCAGGTCAGAGTTTAGCAGTAGGGATTCAGATTGCCTGCAGGTAGAGAGGCTGAGGGAGCTGAAACTGGGACAAAGTGTTCAAGGAGAAGAAACTACTAGGTTGTTATGGGATCTAAGACACAAGATAGAAGCTTCAGTGGGGCTGTTACTCAAAGACACTGGAAAAGTAGTATAAGGATTTATCCTGTTTTCTCTAAATTACAACTATTTGTCTGAAACTTGAACCTATTGTCCATTCACAGAATAGGATTTCCAAAGCCCTTTGCATTTAAGCCTACAGTTTCTGAGAGGGATTTCAGCTTACAGATTCCATTCGTACCTTCATGAAAAAAAAATTGTATATTCATTTGAAGCTTTAAAACAAGGCACTCTCTACTCCTTGCTGATATATCACCTTTGGCTATAGTTTTTCTCAAAACAAACTACTTTATCCATATGAAAATCTGTACAGGTAATATCTCTTAATAAGGATCACAGCAAGTCTCTTACTAAGCAGCTACCATGTACAACCACATGATCTGATGATATGCAGAAAGGACAACTGGCCTTGAGCCTGTGAATCACCTAGTTTTCCAGAAAAAGATTTCACCATCAGCTCTTTCATCTCTACTTTTTCAAACAGTTTTAAGTCAATCCTTAAGATAATATTAAGTCAACAGGCATTTCATATTGATACTGATCTTTCTAGCCACAGTAAATGTTTTGCAAAAAGTGAATATTTTTATAATTCCATCTATATCTATTCCTTATCTTTTGCTGAATATCATTAACTACATAGATAACATTTATCACATGTTGTATGACTTGTTCTTCAAACATCTGAATTTTTCCTAGTCAAATAACTTTTTCCTTCCAATGAGCTCATTTTCTGCTTCCATCATAATGACAATGCTACTACCTAAAACTCTCCTTCCTTTTGATCCATTGACCATAATGTAATTAATAATGGCCAACATCTCAAAACTAAAGGCAAACCTGACAAAAATAATTTGCTATGGTCTATATGTTTGTGCTCCGCCCCCACTCAAATTCACATCAGAAGTCCTGACATCCTATGTGATGATGTTAGGAGGTGGGTGTCTTTGAGTGGTGATTAGGTCATGAAGGCAGAGCCCTCATGAATGATATTAGAGCCTTTATAAAAGAGGCTTCAGAGAGATCTCATGCCCCTCTCCTATGTGAAGACACAGCAAAAAATCAGTAGTCTGCACCCTGGAAGGGGGCCTTCACGAGAACCTGACAATGCTGGCACCTTGATCTTGGACTTCCAGCCTCCAGAACTGTGCAAAATAATTTCTGTTGTTTATAAGCTACCCAGTTTGTGGTACTTTGTTACAGTAACTTGAATAAACTAAGACAGTAATCTAGCCAAAACATGATGACAGGGACTAAAATGTTCATACTTTACTGTTCATGCTAACTATCAGGGCAGGCAAAGTTGAGTGACTATTCTTTTGGACCATAAGTTGAAAGATGTTATAGATAAGAGCACAAAGCTGTAGGTTATTGCTTTCTCTCTGTTTTTTCCATCAAATTGTCATATGAGGGCAAAATCCATATTTAATGTCTTTGGTATGTCCCATCATAACTGTTCTATAATAATAATTCCCAGGGTGTATTTTTTGAATATTCAATAAAACAAATTTATAAAAATCTTCAATTTCAAAGAAGAAATGCAAAAGTTATTCAGAGCCACATTTATCTATGTGAGATTGAACAGCAAATTTATCTGGAAAAATTTGTTCAAGCTCACATATCTCATCTTCTCCACACTGCATATGTATTATTCGAGAAGATTCTGATATGTTTCTAACTTAAAAATCATAGCAAAAAAAAATTCAGCTTGATTTTTTTGTTTTTGGGGGTTTTTGGTTATTATTTATTTGTTATATTTTTTATTACGAAGGCAAAAAATAAATGCACATATGTGCATGTGCTTGTATATATACTATACACACATATGTATGTATTCGTAGATAGATTAACACATGTATGACATAAAAATAGTAGTGAGACATTTGATCTGGCCTTAAATCTAAGAAATACAAATGTGATATAGCAAATAAAAAATGTTAAAAATTATTTAATGGGAGAGGAAGATGGCAGAATAGGTAAAAGTAGGGCTCGTCATCTCCCACGTTTGCATTGAAATTACAATCAAATTATAAAATAATCAATGTGGAGAATCACCTGAAGTCTAGCTGATGGTAACACCTACCTCCAATAGTATAAAGGAGCCACAATGAAGCCAATAGAAGGGGTAAAGTCTAGAATCCAGCTGGACCCGCACCCGTGGGTAGTGGAGGAATACTGAGAGGGAGAGCAAGGCTGCAGAGGCTCTCCTGAATAAAAGGGGTGTCCTGGTCTCATTTTGGGATTCCCCAGCCCAAGGAAGAGGATATTTCAATAACTCTGACTGTAAAAACCAAAAGGGATTCCGGCCGTCTGGGTGAGACGGAAGGAGACTGAAACCCTAGATGCCCCTTTGAAGGACTCATGTACAGGCTTTCTGACCTGCAGACACTCACTCGGCACACTGGCGGTGGGTCAGAGGCTTGCGTGGTATTCATTCTGAGAAAATTTGCATTTCCTGGTGCAAGAACGAGGGCCGGAAGAGCAGCCACCATTGTGCCTTAGTCCAGCCCCCGTACCAGACAATCTATAGACCACGCCAGCTTGACTGTGCAGACCCCTCCCACAGAGCCATTAGGAAACACTGGCCAGAGGGGATCAGCTCACCCCAACCAACCTGCAGATTGCCTGGAGCTTTTGTTGCTGATTGGCTGTTAAGCCCTGCTCCGATTCTGGGCCAAGCATTCCCTGCAGGCAGCCAGCGCTGTGAGCCACATTTCCAAGATTGGGTCAAGCAGATCACTGCTACCAACATGAACTTTGGTGGATCCTAGACAGCAGCTAGTCTTGCTGTGATCTGGGACTTCCGCAGAAATGCTCGGAATGCATAAACAGTTACCAAAATTGCAGCAAGACTGAGGCTGTATTGATCTGACTGCCATTGTCTCTCTGAGACCTGGCTCCGCCCTACCCACAAATTGCCCCAGGCAGCCCATTGACAGTGAATTGCAACAGACCTGTCTCTCCCCTTCCCTGATCTCTCAATCCACACAGGCAACAAACTTGGGCTAGCACAGGGTGAGCACTGCATGGAAATTAACAGCAGGCTGACCTCTGCTGCCTGCAAGAGATGCAATATTGTGTTCAGGGAGCGTAGGGGTCTGAGAGACCGTCCCAGATAGCAGTTGGTCTTACTGTGATCTGTGTCTACAGAAGGAATACCTCAGCACAGAAGTTGCAGCAAGACTGAGCTGTATTAGCCTGATGGCCCTTGTCTCCCTGAGATCCCACTTCACCCAAGCCACAAAGTGTCTGCAGCCCATTGACAGGCAGCCTACCGTGCTCTGCTTGGCTCTGGGGTTATGCAGTCAGTGCAGGCAACAGACCTTGTCTAGTGCAGTGAGTGCATTCTGGGGAAAACAGTTGTGGGCAGACCACTGCTACATGTACAGGCTGAAATATCTTTTGAGGGGATTGCAGGGATCTGTATTGGCCCTTGACTCCCTGAGTTCCTGCCCTAACCAATACAAAAAATGCCCGCTGCACGTTGATAGGCAGCTGCCCGTGTCCTAAGGTAGAGCATTTAGGCCCAGGGTGGGCAGCAGCTGACCTTGCTACAAGTGGAAACTTGTACAGGGAGCCACAGAGACAGTTCTGGCATGTAAACTGACACCGCAGTGGCAGGGGAAAATTTACTCAATAGACCCAAGAGACTCCCGGGGTCCCTGCGCCACCCAACATATCACCCAGAGGCTCATTCAGTTTCAGAAACTTACAGGCAACTAACTGGAAGTGTCGGGCCTTGAGAAGCACTGGTCACTCTGCTAAGCTGCCATAGGTCAGGGACGGGGGATAACTGACCGCTGCTGACTGCGTTGTCGCTTCCATTTACCTATAGATCCAACATAGGCAACAGCCGTCTGTGGAT